GCGCCAGCTGACTTGTGTTCGAAGCAGAGGTGAGAACATAATCTCACCGGTGTATATCCGGGAACACTGAGTTTCTTTTTTATCTTCGATTACGGGGAATAAATGATTCAAGTGTACGTGCGAGACAGGAAGTGTGAGAGACTGTGATCGACACTGTGTGTGAATAGTGTCATAGTGTATACGTAGAAGCAGGTGTTCCAAATGAAAGTGACAAGGGTCTATGACATTTCATTGAAAGTCAATATTATCGTGTCTCTTACTTTTTTTATGTGGTACAAATTATTGCTCATATTTGCCTCTGATGTGGAAGAACGATTTCCGGAGAACTAAAGCCAGAAAATCATAGCTTTTTAGCAGGTCGTTGACTACATCCATGCAAAATACGTCGAAAATGTGATTGAAACAAGAAGTAAATCGTATTTAATGCATTGTTCAAATACAGTGACTTTGTTATATGAATGGCACTTATAGATGTGTGAATTGACTGTGGAAATGTACATTTTGCTTTTATAACTTCAACAAACCACGAACTATTAAATACAACGGATTTATTAAATTTAAAATTGTACAATAATTGCATAGAAAAAAATGATTAATCCATACTACCATATTGGGGGGCAGGGTGTTCAACTTCAACAATCAAAATCACCACAAACCTTCGACGTGTTAATGATGTGTGAACACTACCTTAGTACTTCAAGAGCTGACCTTTCCTGTCTCTAGATCTCCAAAAATTATTTCTTTCACACAACTGATATTTCCATGCAGTATTTCCTGGATACTTAAATAACGATACACATGTATAAACAAGTGTCCGAAACAAAACTTTCCCGGACAAAACGTCCACACCCAGATCAGTCCTATTCCGCTTGAATTATTTCGTCACGAGTACGTTGCATATCTTTCTATGGTATATGATAGTAATACTGATATTTTGTTTATTACAAGAACGGCGTAATTGTTTAGTTTTAACTCGCACGTTGTAAGTACGACTCAACTACATTTATTTACTAACTCATACTGTAAATTACTTTATTTTCGCTTGGTATTTATTTTCGTTGAGGGAATGATTCAGTGAAAATAAAATCCGGCGAATATACCTTTTTTTCTGTATTTTACATTCCACTTCAAAAATCAGTGAAAATAAATTTCATACAAAAAGTCCCAAAAAGTCTTTTAGCGAAAATAAAGTATTTTACAGTACGTCACAATTACGGCGTTTTTTAAAAATAATTTTCTCAATTTTTGACAACAGATTCTATGATGTCATACTTTACCATACTTGAGAATCAAGATGGCTGACTACATAATAATGATATAAAGTTGAATATCTAGAGAATGAAAAGTGATATAAAAAAAACCTGCAAATTGCATTCTCCTACATGTGTGGACCTTTTTCTTCAGGGGTCATTATGTTGCTTAGATTGATGTTTCCTTTAAGCTAAACACGTATGTTTGCATAGCGTTCACCCACGGAAGGAAAAGCGTTTAGCACGGGCTAAGCACAGTTTTTTAGTAACCGTGGGCTAAGGAACGCCAAAACTTTGTATAACCAGAAGACGACTAATACGCCGTACCTGCAACGTACGAGTTAAAAGAAAAAAAGTAAAAAAAAAATATTTGAATATATACGGCAAGAACTCAGTCGATAAGATATAAAGTGTGTGACGGAAACTTCCTAGGTCGAAATTCCGGTTTGGCAAATGATCGTCGACTGAAATTTCCTACATTCGCATGCACACAACGCTTAAATTAAACTGTCATCTTTGCTGATTTATAGCATTATTGAAAAAGTGCGACGCTCCAATTAAAACATCGCAATAGATGCATCTAAAAACGATATATTGTACATGTATTCAAGTTGTTATTGTATATATAGCATGAATGTTTAAAAGAACGATATTGTTGTAATACTAATGTTTTGTCCACAGTCCTTCTATCAAAAATATCTATGTTTTATTTTATGCTTGAACATGACTATGGTCAAACATGCGGTTAATCGTTCTTTTGGCACCAGCGATCAAAATAATTGGCCCAATGCCGCGTTATAATAGAAATGTCGAATACCCGGAGTTTTCTCGGTCCGACTGTTTTGAAAGATGTCTTCAAAAGGGCGCTTTGATTAGTTTTTTGGGCAGTCAATTTAAAGCATAGACCTTCAACGACTTTTATGTTTATAGGTACCAACTTAGTAGAATGCGTGCCTAATTATAATCATCACCGCTTGAGTCGTTTCCCCTGAAACCAGAAATTGCGTTCATTCATTTCTTTGACATTGTTGATCTTTGTTGAACCAGAGACGTGATAGTACGTCCATGGTGAAACATTCGCATTAAACGTGTCCTCGTTGAAATTGGATCTTAATTTGGGGTATTCACTCGTTGTAAAGCAATATTTGTTGTGATTTTAATATGGCCGGGAATAATGACCACTTTCAAACCACAGCCCCTGTGATAAAGCATAGAGCTTTGACAAGTAATACAAGTCTGAGCATAGACACAGTAACATCAATATCGAAGTCAGAGAAAGCCTGCAAGCTGTCGTTCTAAAAACACGGGACCAATTGTCATGCAAATGTACCACCCGCATGCGATACCATGCAACGTCTATAGTTCCATAATGATTGTCGACGTACGGTATACGCTAAAAATCAAGTGTGTCTGATTAGCGACAGATCACAGTCAAACACGCACATGGTATAATCTTGTGTAAACTACAGAGATATCTGTCTGTGATCGTCATGCGGCGTGCCTTCAAGTTACATGTAAACAAACAATGCATTTTACTCGCGTTGTAAACGTCCCATAAGGTCATATCGGACACACCGCATCTCAGTATGCGAATCTAAAATATACAACTTTTTAGTTGTTTATCGAGTTGTACGTCATTCAATCATGAACCCCGGAATAAAATAACCGTTGCACTTGAATTTTCAAGATATAATGTTCCAGCTTACCGCTTCGACATATTTCGAGGAGAGATGGGTGAACGAGTATGATACCATACGAGCGGACAAATTGGTTAACTCTCTAAGACCTACGCTCTAATGTTTTGAAGCAAAATATACGTCGTGTATGTCGCCACCTAGTGACGTGTGTTTGCTTTTTTCACTTTCGAGGCTGTCCAATCAGCGGTCGCATTAAAGAAAGTGACAAGAATATCCAATCAGCGTTCGCGTAAGATACAACTTGTTCACTGTTTTACAACATAATCCACGCCTGTACAAAGCGGAATACTATCGTTTGTTAACCTGCATATATATTCTCGGTGACTGCAATTTCTAGGTACGTTTTTGAAGTTTTCTACTTTGACTTGTTCTGTACAAATGTCTTCTTGACAATAAGGTACTTCAAGATATATATTGGCCTAACTTGGGTATAACGACACATTGTTGTTGTTTTTGATGTTTCACTTCACTGATAGTCTTACTCGTAACGTTGAGTCAGGAAGTGAAGATATACCGGTAGCTTTGCATGTTTCGAAACAAGACTCGTCGCTGTCTGTCAGCGGTTGGAATACGGCTATGATGTCATTTTGGTAATTGATGTCAGCTCAGTGTGTAGAAATGTAACGACTTGTCGGTCGAACAAGCAGTTGATTCAGTTTTTTTTTTGCTTAACAATGGACTTGACTTCATTAATAACATTTCAAGGGCTAGGTCTATGCATGAAAATACGTAGCTCAATTCTGACTGTAAAGCTTTGTCTGCAAGCTCTCTTTTGTATTGCAAATCGCGTGAACCAGCCAGTCACCATTAACACTTAATGCGTTTTTAGTTGATTTTACGCCATTGCCAAAAATTTTCTTTTACGCCCGTTAGTCCAAAAATTAAATAGAAACAGTCTGTCTATACACTCTCGGACACGATTTACACAAATAGGAACCATCGCGATTTTCGCTTTGCCTACGTTTTCAGTTTCTCACTCGTAGTCATACGACAATTCGACATGATGAGTTTGCACGTCAATGATAACTCTAACAGAAACAAATAATACAGACTGAATGTGATTTGCCGCAATGTAATACGACACCTCGGATTCGCGACTAATGATTAAAAACTGACAGGTGCTGAGGGCCCACCAGTGGACCGTATGATTCGCACAGCATGGGACCCTATCGTGGGAGGGGCTGGGGGTTTAACAACCTTCACTAATTTGTTGAATATTGATGGTTATTTTTAATGGATATAGTATGACTGTACACATGGACTGTTATCACAACTGATATTTGTACATTTTAGACATAAAAATATTAAAAATATAATAAACTAGTATGCGCCAGTGCCACTGAGATCACTTGTGTTTTACATGATATTATATTCCAGTGATATTACTATTAATTAATTTCTAAATTTGAACAGTTGGCTTAATATTCTTTTTCATTGAGCCATAAATTGAACTAATGTACCTTAAAGCATGGAGTTAGTCATTGATTTATGAAACAGCAAAAAAATGTGTGTCATTCTATACGAAATGACGACTGACGGCCGAAAAAGTAGTCCAACCAAATACAAAGCATTTTCAAGTATGTATAGCTCTTTTGGATTTTATATTTTTCTGAAATTGTCTGACAAAAATATATTTTTTTTTTTAAATTGTGTACATTTCTTCATTATGTCAATTTGCTAGAACTACTGATGGCCAATGGAATGTTTTAGTTCACTCCGGAACAACGACACATTTATATGTAAAACAGCCAGGGAGTTTTTGTTACAATAGAAACATTGTCATAAAAATTAAAAAACAACAACTTCTGATTCTCTGACATCCTGTAGCAAATGAAATATATAAAATACTAGTACCATAATTGTTTTATTACAAGTGTACCTCCAATAAAATTGCATTTGCAAACTGAATAATTAAAAAATATTACTAATTTTTGCTATAGAAACATTTTTGTAATTTAATGCATGTGTTACTAATGGAGTCAGTACTATAATGTGTATTATGATGGCTAGAGGATGTATATGCCAACTTTCTTTTTCTTTTTCTGAACACTTGAATCCTTTTTGTTGTATATCAATTGCAAACAGCCTAAAATGTGTTATACTGTAGTTCATTGACACAACCTTGGCTGTAAAGTCATTCATTATTCGTTGGATTTTAATTTTTTTGCTGATTTGCGGTATTCGCTAAATTTAATCTATGTTTCCAAGGAATAATAATAAAAATCTAAAAATGATAAAAAAACAAACAATAAAGTATTTGTGCATTTATGTAAATTAGAGTTGTTTTTGTCATAAAAAGTAATATTTTATTGATTCAGTCATAGACCTTAAAAGACTGTGTACTTTTGTGCACTGTCTTGGCATATTGCAACATGTTCACCGCAGGATAGTACAGGTGTGGTGTTTGACACACAATTGATCACTGTACATGTAATTGTGCCATATAAATGGTTTCTATAAAGTAGCATATTTTACATTTCATTCTGTGTTATCATGAATAAATTATGGTATTTGCTCTATTCGATGCGCATCTCCAAAAAATTTGTACTGACAAATAGATAGACTGGCAAATACTGTAAAATAATTTATTTTTTGCTAGAATTAATTTTCGCTGAAAAGACTGATTTGTGACAAGTTGAATGTAAAATATAGGAAAATAAATATATTTGCTGGATTTTATTTTCACTGAATCATTCCTTCCCCGAAAATAGGGAAAATTAATTCTAAGCGAAAATAAAGTATTTTACAGTAGATAGAAGAACTATTGTATGCTAGAATATTTAAATACAACTCACTTCATTCAACCATAGACAGTACAGTCTTGAGTGTAACATATTGCTAATGTTACCGGTAAGCTAATTCATCCTCAGAGCTGCCTTCAAAATATATCATATCGCTGAAATTTGTAGTGAAGAAAAAAATAAAATTGTTACAGTACTAGTAGTTATTTTTTGAAATTTTCATTCTAATAATTTTATAAATTATAAAATAATACAAGCAGTATAATCTTCTGTATTATTGACAGTTCTGAGATTAAAATTTGGAATGTTTCTGTAATGTGCACCTGTTTAATCATATCATTTGCCTGTTCACTTCAATGTCAGCTTTTATAATTTTCCACAAATTATATTCCAGGTCAAATATCTGCTTAATGTCTCAAAATTGTAAGAATATCAAATTCAGACTCTGTGGTCCAATAGACAGTAAAAACAAAATTAATATGCGGTATTGTAGCTAGACAACTTTCTCAGTATCCTGTATCAAAACATGCAGATCATCTACTATATAACATTTTGAGATAGCTACATGTGATTGGACCATTCCAGTTTATATCTGCACCCCTCTGTTGATGAGGTCGGATTTCCAGCACTGTATGATGGGGAAAATACCCCGGATTTCCAACTGTATATGGAGAAACAGAGTATGGAAAAAAAAAATTTGGAAATCCAGGCAGTTATGGCTACTACCGGTAAATAAAATATGGCCTTGTTTATCTCGCCAC